TTTCTTTGCTCAACGTTGAGTCCTTCTCCGAGAATACCGACGACGGCGTCTGCATATTCTTCCATGTCGAGCATTTTGATGACTTCGTTGACGTATGCCAGCTTTTCGTTTTTTGGTGCGCTAGCTGGTTGACGAAGGAGTGCTGAGAATGTCAGGGCCTGTCATGAGTCAGTACAGAATTATTTTATGCTATGAGAGAAAAAGGATGAAGAAAAAAAGGGAAAAAAGAAAGAAAGAAAAGAAGAAAAAAGAAGGAAAGAAGAAGAACTTACCTCACGAACAGTACTTGTATCAAGATGTAAATCCTGCTGTTGAGCATACCCAGTTTTTCGCTGAAAACTTTCATCCCTCAGTTTCCCATTAACCAACATCTCACCAGTAATCACACCCACTCCACCACGACGATCTGCCAAACAATCCAAAAGTGTCGTCTTTCCAGCACCAGAAGCACCCATCAAAGCTGTAAGTGTCCCAGGCTTTATCCATCCATCAATATTATTCAATATCCGTCGAGTCTTTCCTTTGATCTTGATGTTGTAACAAACATTATTCCAATGAAACACACTCGTTGATCCTTGGAAATTGCTTTTCCCCTTATCCGCACCCGGTCTGTCAAGAATAGCCGTATCCCGTCCAGAAGAAGACGCTTCAACATCATTTGTCTTTCTAGTCGGCACAAACCCCTGTCGAAAAACCAAAACCTCCCCTTTGGACTTTTTGGCCGTGACGTATTCCGCCGTGACAAAATGAGCAACGTGGTTAAAAATGACCATGGCAATCAAAATCCCAACATTCCTCCACTTATGACTGGGGATATAACTGAAAGCCGACTTGATGTATGCATCCCCGCTCACCCAATTCTGACCGGCAACCGCGCCAACAGCATCACAAGCCACATTCTTTGGGTCTGCAGTTAAATAATCGGGGATATGACTGGCGCAAGTAAAGTTTCGTCCGTGAAACTCGTTGATTACCAAGGCTTCATACCCGTATGCGATTGGATCAAGGTAATTAATCCATCGACACCAAGGGAGCATGTAGTCGATGGGTACGATGAAGCCGGCGAAAACAAGCAAGGCGATCATTAATACTGATGCAGGGACCATTGCTTGACTTTCTGTGCGAGAAAGTGAACCACTATATAGGATATCATCAGCGTCAACTTCATCAACAGATCGAAAGAAAAAAGAAAAAAGAAAAGAAAACAAACTCACATAAACCTAAAAACACCACTCATACCCAACACAACCAAAAACACCACCCCCAAATAAAACCAAAAATTCCCCGCTCCATCACCTCTATTCAAATTCGTCATGAAGTAAAAAACCAAATTAAACGACAAACAACCCACCAGTTTAACCGGCAGCTCAACAACCACACTTGCAACCGCCTCCGCCGACCCTCTATAAAACCCATACAATCTACTTTGTTTCTCCACGATAGGTCTATGAGCGTATAACGTCATGAGTTCCAAAACTGAAGCGAAGGCGTTGAATAGTATTGCCATGAAGAGGACTACTGTTCTTCCGTAGAAGGATTGTGTTGTAGTTGGGAGGTTGTAGAAGAGGGATGACATGATTAATGCCATTATTGTGTTTCCAAAGAGGATTGATAAGGTTGGAATTGGATCGGATTTGAATCGACGGTAGGAACGCCAGATACAGAGTAGGATTTGTTGGGTGTAGGTTAAGATATATGGAGAGTTCTGTCGTCGTTTACCAGAGGACTTTTGGGTTTGTTTGACAGTCCGAAAGATTGAGGCTGAGGGACCATTGATTGGAAATTGGGATTTATACTCGAGAATAGATTGTTGGAGTTCTGCGTATTGAGGGGAGGATTTCCACGCGGAAACGAATTCCTCTGGGGTTGAAGGGGGATGAAAGTCCGGTCGAATTAGACGTTCAGATGGGAAGGTCATTGAAGTCAAGAAATCGGGGGTTGTTTGTCTAGGGGGACAGATAAAACCTAGGGATTCGAAATATTCTTTTGCGGAGGCGATTGGACCGAAATAGATTTGATGGCCGGAGTAGAGGAGAGTTATTTTGTCAAAGAGGGAGTAGGCTGCTTGGGGGGATTGGTAGATTGAGACGAGGGAGGTTTGAGAAAAGAGGTCGGATTGGAGACGGAGGGTTTTGATGAATTCTAGGGCGTTAGAGGAGTCGAGACCTCGTGTTGAGCTGGAAAACAATTAGAATGGAGGTGGATGGACATGTGGGGGGATGGGAGATGGCATACTTATCCCAGCATTGAAAAGGGGCATTTGCAAGTGTTGCTTCGGCGATTGTGACTCGTTTACGTTCTCCTCCCGAGACTCCTCGGACAAAATTATCACCAACCTTGGTGTTGATGGTGTGGCTGATGCCGTACATGGCCATGACCACGTCGCGGAGGTGTTTGCAGTATTGATCCCTGGACAAACCTAGTGGTAACTCCCTTTGACATCTTGCGTGGGAAGCAAAGCTCAAGGTTTCTCCCACGGTCAACTGGGGAAAGTGGACGTCGACTTCAGCGGTATAAATAGCATCACCCAAATGTGCAGAGTGCATCTCCTTGGGGGAAATACCCTGATAGTTGATGTAGGAATTCTCATCCACGATGAAACCGTCCGTGTTCCCCGCTAGAGTCTTGAGCAGAGTCGAACATCCAGACCCAGGAGGACCAAGAACGACACACATCTCTCCAGGACGAACAAGTCCGTCAAACTGACTGAGGATATTAATCTTTGTCTTTCCCGCCGTGCTGGAAAAAAGTCCTCTGATCATAGCCGGCAAAGCCACCCAGACATTGGCAACATCCTTTTGGAAATCAGTCGGTGTGCCATATCCGTGGACGTTTAGGTTTTGGAAGCATATCCCAAGTTGACGAAAACTCTGTCCGCGTTCGCTGGCAACTTTGGCAATGTTGGAAGCCCAGGCACGAGCGTTGAATTTATCTCCGTTGGGGTTGAGGGGTGACGAAAGATCGTTGAGGTCGGGGATGAGGATGGGTTTGCCTCGGGTCGAATGCAAGCTAGTGCGGGAGAACTGACGAGCGAGGTCTTGGACGTGGGAGAGACGGCGTTCCATGGGCTCTGGTTCAGGCTCTGCCATTTCGATCTCGCCGTTGATGGGTTCGAGTTCGATGTCATCACCTGGGAGGGTCGAAGTACCAGGTTTGCCGCCTCCAGAAAAGGACCACATGTTGAATTTGGGTTGAAGATGTAGATGTAGTTGTCACGAAAAGAATGAAGTTGCAGGAAACATCACATGGAAGACTTGAAAGCAACTACATACAAGAATATAAGGAAATCGTACCACCATAATAAACCCCCTATTCCCACTACCAACACCTCGGAGACATGCGGAAAGTTTTTTTTATCTGATCATCTTATCTGCTCTCGCAATTCGTCAACCAAATTTGTCCGTCTAATCTGATCTATGTCAAGTCAGCAAGGTTCGGCCCAATCGTTCCTCCGATTGCATATAATGCCCGGCGACATTTTTACCTTTCCCCCCACACACAAGTACCACTAGTCACCAAAGGATTTGCACATGAACCACAAGAAGAATATAGCCAACAGGGGGTGGCTATTCGCTACTCATGTGAAAAGGGGACTTGATTAAAGTCGAAAACGCCTATTTGTTTTTAAAAAGATTCTATTATTTAACATGCCTTTTATTTCATAAAACTACCTTACCTTTTGCTAATCGAATAGACCTGTTCGAAAACAATTAGATATTTTCGATGTTAAAAAGGTGAATTTGCTTTGTTAGGTACTAAACACACCCCTGTACTCTTTTTTTCTTACCCAAACGCTTTACTACCTATAATCTCAACACGGGCCCGTCCCCTTTCATATTATTGAAGTTGGAATATTGCTACGCATTCTCCCCGCCTCCCCAGATCAAATCGAAAAAAGCGAGCGAAGAATGTCATCCCGGGAAGAAGTGGAAGACTTATACGCAAGGTACATGGGAGAAAATGCCACGATTTTCTTCATCACCCCATGTGTGTGAGATGTTCATGTAGGGCTTGGGATCTGGATTGTCGATCTCATCATTCGGTTCAAGGTTGTAGTTTGAGCAATTGATGAGCCACATGATGTCAAAGAGCTGATAAGAACTCAATTTGCACGTTCCGCACCTATCCGTTTCAACCTTTTCTCCGTCTTCAAATTCTCATCGGGTTCCTCCGCCTCCACCCAAGATGAGCTCCTACAAAGACTCAAGCGCCTACAAGTGGTACTATGACGGGTCACCGGCGATTCCGTCGCCTCCACCATGAGCTGTTCCAAAAAATCGGCTGTCTCAGTCTGCCTGAAAGTGGTACTACAAGGGCACGGAGAACAAGCGAATCTCCCTCTTTAGCATAAAATCTTTCCGCCGGCTGGAGGAGCCTCGCGTCGGGCGCGAAGCCCCGAGCCCGGCATGAAAATTAAAATTCGCACCAAAAATATGCTTTTCGTGTCTGACGCGAATCACCGGCTCCGGGTCGGTTATTTTTGTTCCAGAATCGACGACATGGCTCGAGCTTGCGAGTGCGACACGAAGATTTTCCAGTGCGATGCGACATGAATCCGGCCAGTGCTTGAGGACTGCTTGAGCCCGGCTCGAGCACTATTCGAGCACTATTCGGGCCTCTGCCCCAGTCACAGCCCGACCAGGTGAAGATGAGACATTTGAGAGCAGTGAAACAGGCCCTCACATTCTCAACACTCCTTCCTCAACCAACTAGCACCCCCAAAAAGGAAAAACCGGCATATGTCGCAAAGTCATCAACCGGCAGCCCACGAAAAGATATTGGGCGGATAACTGGCGACAGCACGGCTCTAGTGTCATTACCCACAGATCTACACTTGAAACACAACAAGAAAATACCCAAAAATGGGTGTTGGGTGAAAAATGAACTTGATGAATACTGGACAAGCGCCGGTTTTTTTTTTTGGTTTTCTTTTTGCACTTAACCAGCACATATATTCAACTACTCACCACCAAACTCTAAGCAGCCACGTCGTCGACACAGCCCGATTAGCTCAGCTGGTTAGAGCGTCGTACTAATATTAACTTGCAAGGGTTATAAATAGTAAATGCGAAGGTCAACAGTTCAATCCTGTTATTGGGCAACTCTTTTTTTCTCTCTTTCTTTTTGTGATATACACATTAAACATTATTCTGTCAGAGAAAAGTATATACGGTTCTATATAGAAAAGAAAATGGCACAGAGAAAGATCACCCAGCAGGAACTCTGAATACTGGCGCCCTTCCTTTGCATAACCCAGCCTGTTGCATTCTTTGTCGTTTGGCAGCTTTATCAGCAGCTGTTTCTATTTTGTCAATGTCGTCAGCATGGTTTTCTTACAAATGCAAGAAATTGTGGTCGGGAATAACTTACCTGCGGTAGTCTTTGCTGTTGATGCCGGGTTAGGAATGACAGTAGGAATAGTCTTTTCTGATAGTGGATCTATTGGTGTTGGCGTCCAGCTGGGATCAGGCGCAACAGCAAATGTCGGAGCACCTCTCTGAAGTCCCTTTTCTTCATATCCCCTATAATCTGGCTGCAGTCCAATAGTCGCAGGAGGTGTAATGCTAGCGTTGACAACATGAACACCCATATTCTTCTCACCTGCTGTCCCCCATTCACCTATTGATGACCTCCCATCAGAAAACCTCGGCGGACCATACCTCGGCCCCTCATCAAACATATTCCGATACTTATCCTCATCCTCTCCAGGATACTCAACCGTCGGTTTCCTAGGCAAACACCCCGGTTTCTCAAAAGCAATAGGAATATCCTTCATCGTCACCGTCCATCCAACAGGAACATTTCCTTTAACCGCTTGCTGCGCCCAATGAGTTCCGCATGGAACACAATAAATCGCCAGCCGATCAGCCAAATTGACAAATTTCCTTCCATCCTTACACGCACAACACCATGTCTCCTCGGGACTCCCAGCCGGAGACATCATACACTCCAATCCCATCAAATGCTTGCAATCTTTTCTCTCTCCCAACAGATTCCATTCCAGAGGACACTGTTGATCCGGCGTGCCCCACCAAGCATTCTGACAATTCGCGCAATAAGTTTTGAGCCTAGAAAACTTTGTCATGTTTTTGAGACGGCCGGTATCAAGGCATGCGCAACATCTCGAAGGGTTATTTGGGCCAGTAGCCAAACACCAAGCTCCCATTCCTCCATGTCGACAACTTAATTGCCATTCCGTGGGCAATTCATGATCTGCTTTGGTACTCCATAGAGCTTTACAGTCTCGACAATACTTTTTGACCCTTTCCACTTTGCTCAGAATTCCAGGTCTTGTATCCCTACAAGCACAACAACAATGTCCCTGAATCCCTGAAGGCCTCCTCCCGATCGGAACTTCCTTTTTTATCTCCCAAGCATTCGCTCTTGAATGCTTACATTTTAATACCCAAATCCTGGGACAATCCTCATCTTTGGTTTCAATCCAATACCCTTTACAATCCTCACAATAATTCTTGACTCTTTCCCCTTTACTCAATCCCCCTTTCCTCACATCAAAACAAGCACAACACTTTCCCTGACTACTCCTCTTACAATTCAAATACCTTTCTCCCCCTTGATGAAAACAACTTATTCCCCATTCCCTAGGCAACTTTTCAATCCCTGTGACCCCATCCCAAAACCCCTTACAATTCACACAAAAAACACCCGTCCTATCTCCCCTAGGCATTATCCCCTCTCTCCTATCCCTACAAACACAACAAGATACCTCAAATTCCCCTTCTTCTTTTCCCAAACAACCCTTTGATAATCCATTCCCATGTTTACATTCTACCTCTCTCAGTCTCCACTCATCTGGACATTCCTCCGGTTTCAACTCGCTATAAAACCCTTTACACTTTTCGCAATAAGTATTTATTCTGTCCGTTTGGGATATTGCGGTCTGACGGGTATCGAGACACGCGCAGCATATTTTCGAATCATGTGCTGTGCGTAAACAGATAATTGAAATGACTCCATGACGACATTTATTCTCTGCTATGATTCTGTCGATATCGTCTTCTGATGGTTCGAAAGAAGGTGGTGTCCAGGAGGGGAGAGGAGAAGATCGGAAATGAGTTTGACAGGAATAACAATAAGTTGATGTGCGGGAGTGAACTGATAGAGAAGGTGAAGCGGGACGGGAATCTTTGCATGCGCAGCAGAGGGAGGAAGGGGTGTGGTTGTATGAACAGAGGGTTGAACGGGAGTGGATACAGGTTGAGATTGTCGAGGCAGCTGGAACGGTGTATGATGATGTGGGGTTTGATCGTTTGTTGCAAGAACGAACAATGCAACAACAACAGCAGAGGAGTAAAAGGATTCCAATGCCAATACCTACCATTACTACTATTGAGATTATATGGGGAAGACCAAATGCCGAAAAGGGTTTCGATGGACTAGAGGAAGAGGATGGGGTTGGGGTTTGGGAAATGGTGGGTGATTTTGGCAGTAAAACTTGAACCCAGGGTTGATCAATAATGATTTGCATTGCTGAAGAGGCGGTTAGAGTGCGGATGGGACTTTCAGTGTAGTAAGAGGTTGTGGTGGTTATTGTCGTGCCGGAGATTATGGTTTGGACTGGTTGGGTGGTGTATCCTTGGGCGACGGCGAGGTAAGGTGCTCCAGAGGAGAGAGTGTGGATGGATTGACATTTTCCGCGCCAGGTTGTTGAGCCGTAGGAGTCTGTGAATGCTGGGGTAAAGTAGGAGAGGGTGTGATGACTATTTTCTTATTAGATAGGCATTTTGAGTGAAGTGGTGGAGGGGAAAACTCACGATGGACAACATGTTACGACTGATAAGGCCAAATCATATGGCCAAGTCCTGGCAATACCGGTCTGATAACCGCTTGGACAGCCAGTTGCTGAGTAAAAAGCAAAGAGATATCTGTCGTTGTATCCTGGAGGTTGACATTCTGTAGAGGTGAATGCGGTCAGGTCGGTTCGATATGGCCAGTTGATCCATGCATCGTATGGATTTGTCTCTGGGTTTTGGTCTGTCACGCAAACTGTTCCAACGCAGGTTCCCTGGGAGAATTTGGGTATGGCGGATGAACATGTTGGAGGAGGTGACCATGCTGTCGTTAATGGAAGTGAAAGTGTTTGAGATGGATAGAGTGGCAGTGTTGGTGTTGGTGTCAAAGCCATGATGACGATTTTTTGGTCGTTACTCTACAGCATGTTGTTGGTTTGTTTACAAGAGGAAGTTCTTCTCGACAAAAGGAGAACTTGAGTTCAGGAGGCCTTGCAGCGCGTCATGAATTCTGATCCTCCAATCCTTTGAAGCGCCACCAGATGATAAAAAGTCTAGACCCCGAAAAAAAAAAAAAGATTAATTACCCCACGGGGCACATTGACACTATTCATTTTGGCTTGGGGCTGTGACGGAAATTGAACATGTCAAATCTTGGCTTCATGCAGGGTTTCGGTGTGGCGTTTGCTTGAACCAACTTCGTCGTCGAGGAGGGGGTTTATTGACACCATGCTCTCCTGCAAGGCTGAAAATCAGGAATAATTTCTCGCCGCACTTCCTTTTTGGTTTTCGAGTTTGGAACGATACAATAACAGCGAGAATCAGCTGATGGATGATGTGCCAAAATGGGGAATGTTGTCGCTTGCTCATTCCAAATTGGTTCAGGAAGGATTGGGCGCTTGAGGGAGATATCACACGTGGGGAAAGAATGAACTTGAGTAGTCAACTCGGTGATATGTCCTCGAATTCTGATAGGTTGATTTCATTTTCCACGAGAGGCCTCAGGAATCTTCACATTAAGAAATGAAATAGGTGCTGAAGAAATTAAATCATATGATAATAAAAGTTGGAAAGATAATAGTAAATAAATCTAAATTACACAACATTTGATCCTCCTCAGTCCCCTCAATCATCGTAACTGACACTGGTGGACCCATATTCCTTCCCTCTAAACAAAAGCTTCCAAGTAATTTGCGTATTAGCAAAAGTAGCCTGCAGCTTGAAAGTTGCCTCGTAAAACTCCTTCCCTGTCTTTGGATTCCTCGACTTGGGAAGGCTCGAAAGAGGGACATCACTAAAATCTCCCCTCACTCTGCAAATGACCTGTGCCGCGTCATCTGCAAATCTCCGAGGTGCAACTTCCTCGCTGCATCCGACTAACGTGGCGCCAATTTCACGCGTCTCGTCGGCTTCAAAATGAGTGCTGACATCGACGCTCAAGACGCGAGGAATGTCCTCGGGAAGACGATCACCCATGTCGACGAGCCAGTTCATCTGTCCCTTGGCCATTTTGAGACCCGTGTATTCATCAATGAACATGTCGTCTGGATGATGCACGCTTGGCCGCCATGATTGGGCCAGAGGAGTGCCGTAGTGCTTGCGGGACAAGCGAACTGCCACGACGCCGGCTATCTTGGTTCCTGTGCTGTTGACACCCAGTTCGAGTCCTCTACAGACGGCTCCGCGAGCCACTGCAGACCACGGACGAGGTGGCTGTCGAGTCTCGATGCCGCGCGGTTGGCAGTACTCCTGGACCTTACGGTAGAGATAAGGATTGCGGCCGAATCCGCCTACCACAAAAACCATCTTGGGCTTTCCGAGTCCATTCTTGATGACAGAATCAACTTGGCCATCAATGAGTTCCAGGGTTCGGTTTACCGAGGGCAAAAAGATTTGCTCCATCTGATTCGTGTTGATGGTGAGAACTTGGTCGTCAATGTTGAGATCCTCATCGTGACTAATTCCCGCTTCCCCGGGGATGCGAATCTCAATCTCGTCGTCGTCGGGGTTTCCAGAAAAGGAGAACTTTGCATTCTCAAAAGCTGTCATCATCTGGCTGCCGTGGCGTGTCTTTTCGTTGGGGATTTTGCTGTAGGCTTCAGATCCAATCCACCGTTCGAGCCAGGCAAGAAACTCCTTGTCGACGTATGTTGCACCGCACTTGTCACCACTACCAATGGCGGCTTCCTCTACGCGAAAGTGTGGCTCGATCTGCGTGATCTTGTACGAAATCAAGTCGACAGTACCGCCACCTGCATCACAGAGAACAAAGACGTCTCCGACCTACTGAAGTTAGCTTCGAGATCAAGAATATGTACAGAGTGAGCCTTACCTTGATGTCATGTCGATT